CCTCTTACTGCCAAGCAGAGGAGAAAAGTATCTCTGCCTTCCATGGTCATTTAACGGGCTTCAGGACAGATTGTTCTTAGCTGGAGCAACCACCTCTGTAAGAAGAAATTAATGATTCTCACATCACTGGCTGCTATTTTACTGAAAAGAGAGAAGGGGACAAAAAGCAAACTGGTGGTCATAGGGATTGGACCGGGGTGAGATCAGTGTTCCTATTCAGCATCAGTCATACAGTATGATTACTTCACCCAATAAAGGATCAGTATGCTAAAACAAACCCCCTAAAGCTTCCTTCTCGGCACTGTGTTCCAGTCCCAGACTGCTGTGCAATGAAGAAAGGAGGCAGAAGATTGAAACTATGGCTTCTGGATTTTTGCCAGAATTTTACTGTATTTGTGTAAATACTTATATACATATATGTATACATGTACATATGTATACAAACTGAAAACAACTCAGACTTAAAAGGTTTTGATATGTCTAGCAAATGAAATATTCCCTTAAGCCAAATGTGCATAATGAAATTGGTACTTTTGACAGCTTCCCTAAGAACAGGGAAAAACAAGACTATCAAGTTCGTTGAGCATCGGTAGAGAGTTCCCAGGTTCCCTAGTCTCAGGAGGATACCTATGAGACCTTGGAGTTACCGACATGAAGAAGCAATGCAGCTAAAAGAGTACACTTTTAGAATAAAGCTCAATAAATAGAGCTGCTAGGAAGCGGGTGCCCACACAACACACTCTTTTCCAAACTATGTTCTTATGTCAGAGTACTTACAGTTACCTAATACTAAAATTACATTTTCAAACCTGATATATTATGCTTGAGCATCAATTCACGGTATTGATATATTGTGACTTCTTTCTACACTAACGTGTCCCACAAGTTTTTCCTTAAATTCTAAACACTTCAATAAACAGGATGTATAAACCTTCATGTAATAATGCAATTTCCAGCTATCTGTTTTCCAGAATTAAGACAATATGTTTTTGTACTATTTATGAGTAGTCGAAGAGGAAATGGAACACAAAGTCTTCCCTTTGTTTCCATTCAACCATGTAGTTTTGGGAAAGGATTATCTCCATATTCTTTTTATCATTTGCAAAGGGGTTGGCTAATGCACTTTGGCTAACACTCGTTTTGTGTACAGCTCTAAGAGAATGCATTTAGCTGACTTAGACACATGGTGAACTCATTTTAATATACGTTTCTTTTATTTTGGCACTTTATCATCAAATTCAGCACAGAGCAATTACAGACTATTATAGAACTGTGGCCAACACTGGCTCCTTAAGTGAGCCTGCATAGGTCACATGTTGGATCCTTCTGCATTCCCAAATAAAATATTGTTATTAGACAGTACTTGAAATGAAAACCCCTCAGCCTAGAATTGGCAATGAATTTTATGCCAGAAGCAATTAAAAAGAAATTGAGCCCTGTTTTAGGCTGAACTATTGCTCCATTTGCAGTCACTGGCAGCTCTCCAACAGCATGCTTCAAATCTTATTAGTCAGGGTGGCCACTATTTGTTCACCATTAAGGAGCCCAAGTGTCACAGTGCTGATCAGGCCTTCCTTCCAGACACTCATCAGACTTGTATGGATTTCAGCAGCTGGACTGAAGTCTGGGTAGGGTACAGTGCTGTCTCCTGCTTTGGCATCTCTGACATTTTCCTGGACATGGTTTCCCATTAGTTCTCCACAGCACCTCATGTTTCAGTAGCCCTGAGTGCCCAGAATTAGAAGAGACTTCCAAAACACTTCGGAAAGTGCCATTAAGCACCCCCTTTTTGCAGTTCCAACCTTGACAACCCACAGTTTAACATCCTTGGGACATACAGTGTATATGATGCTCTGCAAAGATTTCATCAGATGTACCCTAATTTTAGACAGCATAAATTATATGCAGTTCTAAACAAAGCAGTAAACATCCAAATATAATCCCTTTCCTCTAAATTGACTCTCACATAGGATTTGCTCTAAGTCTCGAGTGTGTGCAGTATCTACATACCCACCTTCTCTTTGCAAATATAGCTTATTCGTAGGAACATTAATTTCTCCCTCCTTCAACTTCCTTCTAGTTAGCTTTCTTCGACCTTTAATATTCCCATAGTCAAAAAAGGCAAAACAAAATCCAACAAAAATGCAACGATTTTCTTGGAAAACATTAGCTTTTTATTCCTTCTTCCAGCCTCAAGGCTCACCACTCTTTTCAAACTGCTGCCCTGTTATCCATGTTAACCCTGTTCTTCTGTTCTTCTGTTTGGGGGTCTTCGTGATTTCAAACCCTGGTTTTCAGTAGAAAAACTACATCTTCTGTGCTTTGGCCCAGCTCAGTGACCTTAGATATTTTCAGTTAAATGGAAATTAATTGTAGGTAATGACACTCTATTCTCCATGGTCTGAAAGTGATGTTAGGGTAAATATATATTTTATCCCCATTGATAATAAACGGTTAACTCTAGATTTACTAAGTAATTCCACAATTTGAGCAACCTACTTGTAACTTAACGCATAGATAGGTTCTTCTCTCTTCTTCTTTCAAGTTACTATGATAAGCTATTATTAGAAAGTGGAGAGGATTATTTTTTTTTATGGATAGTTGAAATGCACCAGCAGAATAACTAGCTGTGATGGTGCATCATCATTAGAGGAATAATTAATTAAAAAGCCAGCAAGATAAAAATAGGATTGCTATCTTTCCATGGAATGAAAAGCTTCACATTTCAGAAAACTTTAGCATATTTTTAATGTAAATTTATTTTCATTTCAGCCTTATTATAAATTTAAAAAAAAAACAACAAAAAACCAAACTTTGGTGTGTTTGCACTTCATTTCTGAAGCCACACACAAAAAGAACTTAAGTGTATGCACAAGTACTTGCCTTTGTTAAACCTCTTTCTACCTCTCCAAACATCCAAGTGAAGGCTCACAGCATAACCTGAAGATCAATAAATTTAATTTTGGACAAATATACTCCACAGGAGTAGAGCCTTGCAAACATGTAGGATTTTTTTTTTTTCTTTTTTTCTTTTGTATAATGGGTGCTTCAGCTCAGGCATATCTGTGGGCTGCAACTACTTCAGCGCAGCACTGAATGAGAGGCACTCTGAAACAGTTCCACAGATACTACGGACTCCGTAGTTTGAAAGCAACACTTTCCTGTTGGGAATCAAAAAGTGGTCAGTGCAGATCTGGAAATCTCGAGATTGCGTTCACTGATGAAATGCTCTCCTGACTCCCTAATTAATTAACGACATCATTTCCATTTCCTAGGTTGATTAAAAGAATCTTTGCTGCAGCTGTAACCCTGAAGTGATGAAGGCACAGATAATTAGTTCTGCAGCCAAAATGAGTGGACACAAATTGCACTTGAAGTGAACACTGTAAAAGAAAATAGTCACATAAATACTGCAGCATCTAGCACAGACTGGGATACAAAATTGTTCGCAGATGAACACTAGAAGTAAAGAGCAGATGTGTCCTCTCTAATGAAAGAGCAAGCACGGTACTCATAACTTAACAGAGGCTTCCTCTAACCTACAAACTTTCAGCACATCTTTGTCTGCAATGAGTGCCAGGTAGCTAATGGTCATCTCTGCCCCCTTGACTTGTCCCAGAGGACTAACTGGGATGAAGGAGATAAAGAATAGGGAACGTGATAGCCAATGTCTTCTCATTAATCCCCTGGTGGCCCTGCAGAGGCTGTTAGCAGCAGAGGAACTTCCAAAACAGCACAGGGAAGAGCTCTCAGCAGTTCAAGCTGCTTAAGCTAATTTATCATGATAATTAAGCACAGGTGATCCAGTTGTATTTTATCTTAATTGTTCACAGGACTGCAATCTTCCTCTACAGAGACAGCTCTGGGAGAGAATCTGATTGTGTTTTAGTCTGACTCGAAGCTATTAAACAGGCACCTTTTAGTTATATGTTTTGGCAAACTTGGCTTTATTTTCCTGTGTGTGAATAATGGTATTACTGATGGTCATTATAACCAGTTCCAGAGTCACAGCATGTAACTCACATGCTCTGTTAGCATTGGAGTTATGCCAAGGCCCACCAGAGTTGAGTCTTAACCATTGGGGTGGGTGGCTAACACCACTTGCTGTGAATGGAGACAAAATAGAAGTAGTTACTCCCTGGCAACTCTTATGGCTTCTTAGAGCTGAATTAAATTACAGAACAAGTTAGATTCAAAGTCAATCTGGAAAGGCAGAATTACACTTCTTGGATAGAATAACTTGTAACTGATCGCATTTACAAAGTTATTTAAATGATCTTGTCCATGACAAATTTCAAATTGTAGACTAACTTGCTACCCCATGTCAATGACATCTCTGTAAGTTTTGTAATGACAGGCAATTTGCATTGAAGTCCCAGGAGATATCTATAAAGGCTAGTAAAATATCAGCAATTAGCAAAAGCAATATATCAGGTAAAGAGAAATTCTGTTCTCGTGTAGTTATTTCTTAAGGCTAAATACTGAAGTCTTTGTAAGCCTGCAATGTCCATCAATCACAAAATGATATAAGCATAAGCATTTAAGGGTGGGAACATTTCTACCCTCTGGGAAACATTAACATGGTCAAGACACAAGCCAGCCTCAATCATTTAAACTCGATTTCAAACGTACTTTAAGTCTTAGCAATACAAAAGAAAATAGGATTTCACAGTATTTGAAAAACAGTAGTTCTAGGAAAGCTTATATAATTAAGAACATTTTGTGATATGTTTATACAACTTGACTGCATATTAATATGTCCTGATATTTTTATTACTTAACAGCAGTACAAATTCAGTCTTTATGGTCAATGACAGACTCACCTCCCCAGTGCTCATCACACACTGTGAACAAGGTAGTTTTATTGGCTAATCCTGGGAACACACTGCTGCACTCCATAACAATAGCCTGAGGAATCATTATGATGCAGGACACAATCCAGATAATTATAATGCTGTTCCTTGCTCGCTTGGCTGTGCTTTTAAACATCAAAGGGTGACAAATTGCATACCATCGATCCAAAGCAATGCAGCTGAGTGTTAGTACAGACACGGAGACTGAAACTGTCTAAAGAAAAGGAAATATTATGTAAATGAAGCTGTAATTTTTTCCAGAGCTTTAAAAAAATATTTATTGTAATTTTTTCCCAGAGTTTTCAAAATTATTCTATTTTCAGCATAGTTAGCTCTTTATCTGCAATTATTAAATAGAAATTATCCCCAGAAAAAGGCTCCTTTTAAAATAATTTCTTACAAAATTACAACAGATATCCTTATCTGCTGTAGGCCCACTAGAATCAAGGGGACAATTCATAGGTTAGGGTGCTACTCAAACTGAGTAGGTGTAGCAGGGTCAGATTTCTGAAAGAGAAAAATTATGCCCCCTAGAATTTCCAAAAATTTATCTGAAAAACTACTTTTAAAATATTAGACAACTAATTAGATCTTTTTTTCTTTGTAGAACAATTTTATTTGTTTGTTTCCTATGTTATATTTGGATACCAGTACCATCATTTTGCCTTTTCATTTTTCATAGGAGTAATGGAAATTCAGGGTCTCATAAAAAAACCCCACCCAACAACAACCAGCTTAAGGCAGACTAAGTCATTCTACCTTCTATTCAGTATAGGAAATAACCTGTCACTGTGGCTTTACTCTTTCACTCTGTACACTAGGTGATCATTTCATTTTCTCTTCAGATTTTCTTCCACTAAAATGGAGGCTTTGAAAAAAAATTTGTTATTTTGACTGTCTCGAGTAGAAGACATACCTGCTGCAGAACTGTTGCCCTTGACATGTGGCTCTTCAGCCATACAGGTATCTGCTGAAAATATAAATTGTGCTCAAGGCACAGAGCTGATCACCTGCACACATTTAGAGTTCTGCTTAATTCTTTTGATTTCTAATGACTGAAAGGCCAAGCACTTGTCATTCTAGCATGCCCAGTCAGTTCATCTAACCAGCTATTCTTAGAAAAGGTATTTGTCAATCATTTTGATGCAAATGATCTTATACCTAATTATAGTGCATTGGTAAATGAGTGGTGGCAGTCATGGCTTAAGGCAGACAATCTGATCAGCTCCCAGTGAACCTGGATACTTTGACTATTTCTAAAGAATGTAAACTAAGTCACTAAACACATATGAAAGCCCAGAGCCCCTTCAGAAGTTTAGATTCTCTGTCCTGGGCACTTGGTAGCTGTTCAGGTCCATGCACACAGAGTATAACTGACTGTAAGTCTACCTACAGACATTTTAATTGCTATATCGTTTCTGAATTTTTAAAAAAGATCACAGAAAGTGAAGAGCATCAGACAAATGTTCCAGAAAGTGTATTGCCCAAGTCTAACAATCAGATGGAACAAGAACAGTATTTATTAAGCATAAACATATTCACAAGTGGATCAGTCCTTTATTCCTCAGCATGTAACCCGAGACATCTACTTCAGTAGCAGGGACAGACTTCCATCAGATTATCACTTTTAGGAAGATGCTATTGTTGTTTCTCTTTTTTGTAATATGAGTAACGTGTACACAAACACAATAAAATAATACCTGTAAGTAGGGAATCACTTTGCAGAGGGGCTGCCCAAAGAACCACGTTTCTGTGATATCCACTACTAAAGTTGCTGGAAGACAAGTAATTGTGACCAGAATGTCAGCCAGAGAAAGATTCACTATGAAGTAGTTGGTAACTGTCCGCATGTGGTGATTCTTCCACACTGCAATGCAAACTGAATTTGGAAAGGCAAGTTAGTGAGATGGAAGTGACTTAGGGAACGCTTCAACAGGAAAACACTTGGCTTTGCAGAATTAAAGAAAGACCACAGCATGGGAAATAATATGATACATAAAGTAGCTCATTTTCCTGCTAGTTTCTCTTTAGTAACTATTCACACAACTTTCTTCATGTCTATTTTAATCCTTTGGCTCTAGTCTATGGCAATACTCATCATAATTTGTAAAAGTTTATCTTTTTCTTATGATAGTGTGATGCTTAATTCAAATTGTTACCACATGGAATCTTGCAAACTGTACCAAGACAACAATCACGTTATAAAATACTTTGCTGAGCATAATATATCTATTGCATCTGCAGAGAATCTTTAACAGTTGTCTGGGTAACTGTGATTGCAGCTAAGTAAATAAAGGTAATTTTTGCAGTATTAAATAATAACCATTTTAAATATGGTATATTTTTAATGATGACTACTGTGATCAAAAGCAGTATGTAACAGACACTTTATAAAATGTGCCTTTAAAACTTGTTTCATATCTTTTCTTTCCCCTCTTTCTCAATTTGAAACACTTCTAGGAACGAGGCAAATCAGTCCTTTAACATGCTTGCACTAAATTCATAAGTTAATACATTAAAAATGCCAAAATTGAATCTGAGAAACTAGCCTAAATCTAAGTTTTTTAATAACTTTGGAAGTAAACCCTGAGAAATTGTTGCAATCAATAGCTTTTGAATGTTGTAGATTCAGCCAACAAAAGCTCTTTAAAAACTGATGCACAAAATTTTCCAGAAGCACAACAATACTTCCCGTAAGAAAGCAGTACAACTCGTTGTACATCAAAGGTACTTCTCCTGTAAACAATAATTCACCCATCATGCAAATCCAGATGAAGATTCAACGTCTCCTTAATCTGTCAGGATATAGCACTATGCTTAATTTATATAAACAGATCACAGAATGCTAAAGAACAGCATTAGACAGGTCTTCAAGAGGTTGTTCAAATCTAAAATGGAATCAGCTAGAATTAAGCCATTCTCTTATTAAACTAGCTAAAACACCTGGAAAAAGATACACAGAATTCAAGGCACATAAGCTCTGGAGATCAGATGCTTCTTCAGATCCTAAAAAGCATGGTGTGCCTGAAAGCTTGTGTCCATCTTCCAGCTGCATCAGTTGATCTAATAAAATGTATTACTTCATTCCACAAATCTTGTCTTGTTTAAGTCTTTAGACCAACACAACTACAGCAAGACTACCACTAAGCTTTTGTTGGCAAGTTTACATTTTAAAATCTGTTACATTTGAAGATACTATGCCTCTTTTAAATGTGTTACAGTGTTTAACTATTTTCGCTATTAAAACAAAAATCATCTAATATCTAATCTACTTTTCTTTCGCTGCTATTTATATTACCTTTTTTTTCCCTGCACACAGGCAGGAATGAAGAAGAGTTTTTCCCTGCAGCAATGGTTCACGTATGTAAATATTGTTGTTACATCTTTTGTCAATTTTCTTTTTAGACTGTACAACTTCAGAACTCTTTTATCTTTTGCTCCCAGTCATTTGTAGAACCTCTGCAACCATCCTTGTTGCTGTTCTCTGGACACTCTTCAGACTAGATCCCGTCTCTGTGGTCAGAGTGCAGTGACCAAAATCCATGGAATATTCATTCAAGACCTTGCTAGAGCTTGAGATTAGAGTACTTTTTTTTGTGAGGGCTATGTTTAGACATTTAGGGGTAATTTAAGACAAAGAGGGAGGGAGAGGCTAGGTGGCCTTCAGTTTCTCTAAGAGAAGGTGATTTTATCAACTACCTTTTTAGGATATAGGCTTCCAGGTTACATTTAAAACCCTTGTTGCACCACAACAGATGTTCATATCTTTTAATGTGTTGCAAACATGGTTTCAGATTCTATAGCTTGTATAAATTTACTCTTTGAGATGTATTTATCATGCTCTTGTAAATTCAAATGAAAACCCCTCTGCAAAGCTCTTCACTGTTCTTTTTGGAGAAAATCTCCCACAGTATCCATTTCTTTTATTGTTTTCTTCTTGAATACAGAATTTCAGCTTCTCTTAGCTGTCGCCTCAGGTATCTGAAAGGCAAGGCTTATAAATCAAAAGTTTAAAGGAAACATCATATTAATTGTATTTTCTTCCCATTTGGGTGATTTAGATTACCTACTGAAGTAATTATTTCTATAGCATTGCATGATAATTACAATATAACTATCCAGAGCTTTATCACTGTCACTTGGTGCACGAGATCACTACAGTTATAACTTACAGTCTGACAATGCAGAGGCAGCACCTAACAAGGAAGCTAAGACATTGCTGCCCCTCTGGAATGTTGTTTGCAGTTGGAAATGCAATGCTGAGGGAAAAACTGCAAACATCATTTCACTTTCAATAATTTTAACACTTCACACTAAAAATTTGAAGATTTGGGCTTTTACTTATGACTTTCTCTTTGTCTTGAGTGCAATTCACGCTCAAAGTATGGTCCTGTCTTGTGCTTAGGCAAAAGTTGACATTAAGTAGCAATGTTCTTCTGTACTTTTTGTTTCTTTCATCAATAGGCAAAAGCTGAATAAAAAGTTGTTTTAAAAGTTCAGAGTTTGGCTACGTTGTTCTCATGCTATGGTTTCAACAGTCCTACATTCTACCCAATTCAGACAAGTGCGTTTTCGGCCATAGCTGTCAGTGCCTAAAGGTACAAGGTTTAAGTACATATGTGTGCTTTTTGACAAGGTCTATTCTCATTCCTGTGCTGACCTGTTTGGGGAAAGTACCTGAACATAAATATTATTTCTGGTTAAAAAAATCTATTAAGTTAACAAATGTGAGGTCAATCTCACTGGCAGCAAAATGTATCAGAAATCAAGTCATAACATTTTGCATGTTGTGTTCAAAGCTTTCTATTAGTATGAGCAAATGAAACCTCATGATACCCCAGAAGGCTAAGAAAATATTATTGGTGTTATCTTTGATGCAAGGAAAGTGAAGTGCAGAATAGAGGTTGCTAAAGGCCATACAGTAAATCAGACACAGAATAAGAAACCTGGACTCCTAATTCCCAGCTCTGTACTAAGCCTTCCAGGTCACAGTGGCTTAACATGGATGGAATTTAGATGAACTCCAGTACCTGCTGTTCCTCGGAGAAATTTAAAAGACTATGCCCTTGCTACTCAGGGAGTAGCAGTATGCAGGAAAGCCCATGTACAGAAAGTAGCTCAGAATTCCTTTGAATTCTAATCCATGGGGGCAAAAGGCACCAGAAAGGTGGAAAAAGATTATAGTTTACAAGCACAGAAATGCAAGATCATTTGTTACTTTAAATTTCTCTCCTTATGCTTGTGTTTCCCCTTAGACCATTTTCCATTCCATGTACGGCACATAGCACAAAACATCTTAATTAGTGTGTTTACACACTACCATAATAATTAAATATTCCAGAAAATTATTCCATGAATGTACAAAAAAAAAAAAGAGTTTGTGTAAAAAAGCCTCTGAAGAGAAAGTATTTTAAAACAAGTCAGCTTCCCTCCGCCCCCCCCGGCTCGTTGCCCTCTGCTGGTTGCAGTGTTACTTTCAATCTGTACAAGCATTGGTAATGTCTTCTTTCAGTGCAAGGCTAAACAGAGCTGTGAGGATTTTCTACGCGTTAATTGAATAGGACAGAATGGTATAAATGTCAGAAAAGTAGTTCAACACATTCTTTCCAGACTCGATGTCTCTCTCAGCCTATTATAGTACAAGGTTACTCGGCAGTGTTGGACAAAAGCTTCCTGATATATCAGTGATCCAGCAGATCATTGAGAAAGATACTCTAGCTGGTGTTCAAAAACTATTATTTTATAGGTGCGCAAAATAGTTTGACTATGCTGATCAACATATTATATCTAGTTAAGTATCAGAACAAAAGAATTTCGCATACTCTCCTTTAAGTATGCATTTTTATCTCAGGTGGTTCTTCTCTCTAGAAGTAGAGACATCAAGCTCCTGCATAAACCATAAAGAAACATGCTAGAGAAAGGAAGCTCCATGGAGTAAGAAATGCCATCCGCCTACCCAGCATGAAACAGCAGAGTTGCGACTTTCCACTCGGCTTGGAAAAGAGAAACATGGATGAGAAAGGTAGCAAAGATTCTCAACTGGGAGTGTATTTTACCAAAAAGTACTCCAAAATCATAAAACAGGAGATGAGGCCAGCACCAGCCTTCCTAAGAAACTTGGGAGACACCACAGAGTTAACAGGATGCCTGTTTAGTTAGGGCACAATGTAGTGGCCCAAACTGAGCTCTTCAGACCTCTGCTGCAGATCTATGAAACATTAAAAATAGCTCTCAAGAAAACCCCAATTTAACATAACATGCAAATCTTTTATGCAACCTTTGATGTTCCCAGCTATAAATAGGAGTGAGGCAGAAAGTGGGAAAAAAAATGCTGTTAACACAGGCATTGAAGAAGAGAGGATAAGAAAAAAAAAAAAAAAAAAAAAAAAAGTGGGAGAGAAATATGAAAGAAAGGAAACAGAAACGTGCTCCTACTGTCCATGATTTTCCTGACTGCTAGAACTCACTGGAATGTAATTACCTGCCCAGTATATTTTATTATTTTCTGTATTAGTTTTTATTTTATAAAAACTCTCAAAGCTACAGTTAATAAATTTGCTGCAAAAGAAACACGCAGGCCAGCTTTCACAAAGAGCAGCTATTTGTCTAACAGTTATTAAGCAATCCGACTCTTAACTCCTTCATCTCACCGCCAATGTTTTCAGTTTCTTCCGTCAGACTTAAAGAGAAGAGCTTCAAGCAAAACGCTTGCTATTCCTACCTCTGCCACACAGTGTCAGTGAAGGCTCGGAAACTCGCGTCAGTCGCCGGGTTGACAAGTGTTTGGGAAAACTTGGTGGAGGCTTTCCCCGAGCCGTTCAGCGATCCTGAAGCTTGTTTCAGAATCCATCCCCCAAACATTCATGATCTCCCG